CTAAAAACGGGGGAACAACGGAGCTGATCCAGATTTGCGTCCGATATGACGTAATATCTGAAATGTGGACCCACGGCCCAATCAGAAACGTTACGGCCCAATCAGAAACGTTGCTATCAGAAACAATGCCCGACTGTTTTGGACGTAATATGGTCGGTGTTTACATTAGCATCGCTAACACTCAGAGCTAACCTGTACTGGAGAGCATGTGTGTGAAGAAGCAGGAAGTAAAAAGGAACTCACCTTGTGGTATAACCGGCAAGAGAGAAAGCCTTTGAGCTCCATACTGTTTCAGAGATAATCCTTGATAATCCATGATATGGCGTTTCATCACGGCAGCATTTAGTTTAGACAGTAGCTGCCGGGTCCCACATGAGCTCAGACCCCTGCTTTTTTATTTTTTTAAAGCTTTATACCCCAAATCAGCACTTTAGAAACAGGAAGTGAAATAGAGGGATATGAGGCATGGCTAGAATGGGTGATCTGTTTGGTATTTTGAGCAAAACACTTCATAGACATGTTTTTTATATATTTTTATATATCTGAGACCTATTGCCTACAAATAGCATGATAGGTGACCTTTAAGTTATATATTTAAGTTATATATTTAAAGTCTATAATGTTTTATGTTTTTATTTTGAGTAATATATACTGATAGAATAAGGATGGAAAAAATGTCTGTGCTGTGGCTAATATTTAAATTTTTACAGAATATCAACTTTGTTTTTTAAAGTCAAGAGCAGTTTGAAAAATACTTAAATAAAGAGAAGGAAATTCATTGAGTTCTTGAGATTCTGCCGTGTCCTCTGATATATTTCACACAGTGCGTCCTGCAGCAGATTGGTACCTGCGATGCTGTGCTCTGCGCTGGGTTCAGCCTCGGAGGAGGACGAGGGTCTCGGGGACTCGGGGCTCGGCTTCTTCTCCGGAACCAGCTGGAGGGGAACGGCCATCTGACTCAGATCGATGGTGTGCTGACGAGGTTTGGCCTCTGCCTTTTCTTTCACTGCTTAGGATAAGATAAACTAAGGGTTAATAAGTGAGGGACAACAATATTAGAAACAGAGCCAGCAGAGAGGTACGAATTGTAGTTGTTCTAAGGGAAGAAGTGCACTGGAAATGTTTTATAAACTTAATTTATCATGAGGTTAAACAGAAACAAATAAAGGAAATGTGAATGTTGCTTCTTCATCAAATAATCATTTAGTTTTGTTTGTAACTATACTTAAACAAACGGCTTAGTTGAATACTCGATTCTGATTGGTAAATTCAAAACATGTGACACGTTAATATAGTAGTACAGACCGCTGTCAAGGACTATAAGGACCGTTGCTATGGAGGATCAAGGGAGAGAAAGGAAAAGATGGTTAAAAGACGGAGCGCTGGACGTCAGATAAATCAACCCTTCCCGCGTCCATTCGCGATGTCTCACTGTCTCGCAGACCCCACACAGCAAGCAGGAAATGAACCCAGCTCACACTGTCCGCTCCTCGCAGCAGCGAGCCGCGCAACGTCCCGCCAACACGGCACCAAGACTCCACGCAGCATTCTCATCTGTTTGTCATTACTGGTGTCATTTCCTGGTTGCTAACAAACGCCATTGTAACACATAATCACTGATGTTCCGCTGTAACGGGGGTGGACTCATCAGAACAGAGTGGGCTAGCTGACCAATCAGAGCACAGAGGGCTCATAGGGAGGGGGGGGGGGTGGCAGGAGCTCCAACAAGCCGTGTAGGACAGAGAGTGAATACACATACTATACAGAGATGCTGTATGAGAAACCAATGTGAGTTTGGAACATTGAACAATGTAAATGTATTGTAGTAGACCTCAACAATGGAAGTATGATCAGTAGAAATGGCCATGACATGGGACCTTTAAGGACTCGTTAGTGGATCAGAAACTGTAAACAGAGTTGGACAGTGCTGCTGTAAAGTTGTTGTGGTCGGAGTTTCAACCGTTGGTGCGCCATGGAACAGAGTTTTTTTTTCTTAGTGGAATAAATACGATAATTTTAATAATTTCAATTAATATTGGAAGTCGTTGTTTAGTATCTGGCCGTGTAATAAGCGGGATAATGTGCAGCGACTTGGTCATTATGGGGAAAACTCGACAGGCTGATCAGGGAGCCCGACGCTGCACATGATCCCTTACTTATCTTATACAGAATGTGACTTCACTTGGAGCCAAATCCTTTGTAAGTGTTCCCCACAGTGCATGTTTCTCTCTGCTGCAGTCAGCCCCCCCACCCCCTCACCCGAGGTCTGCTGCAGCTCCAGCAGGGCTTTGATGGTGGAGGTTGCAGACTGAGCCTCCGCAGCGGAAACCTCCTGGTAGATGATGGTTGGGCTGGACTCCACGGAGATCTCCTGCTCCGTCCAGTCGTGCTCTCTGGACGAAACCATGTGCACTACAGGTAGAGGATCTGCACGGAAACAAAGGGCGACACGTTTACATTTTTAAGGTAACATCAGGTTAGGTTTATTTTTCTGTACTGGTTACAATTCTTTATTTAGAAGACAGTTGAGAAGATTTTACTAGTGACATTGAAATAGACTTGCAGTTACAGGGAATAGTAAACATTTGCAATAAGGGAACAGTATACATTGAAACCTTCCCCTTCTCATTGTCCATCTTATACAATGTTCATTAACTTTATACAATAACAGAAAAGATGTTTTGTAACAGAGGCAAAATCAATAGCAGTCGAATACACAAGAAATTTAAAATATTTTGGTAAGTAGACCAAGCAACCTTTTTCTTTTGGTGATAGAACTGGATATCAGCTCATCAGTGGTTTGTTAATTATATTTATTACATGGCTTTAGTTGAATACTCGATTCTGATTGGTCAATTCAGAACACTTGACACGTTGTTAA